AACATTTTAATGGAGAACGTGGCAATTACAGAAAACAGGTACCTCTTTACCGATCTCGATGATTTTTAAATGTGTTGTAGAAACCAACATTTTGAACAACTTTTTCCTATACATATGCTAAGTCGCTCGGTCTTATTTTCCGAGATACTTGCAAAATATCATTGCTGCTACAACAACGAATATTGCGTATAGCTACGCGTCTGTGACAGCGTGTGTGTAAAAATCATCGAAATCGGTGAGAATGTACCTGTTTTCTATAATTACGGAGAACGTTAACGAAATGATGCTGGTGCTCTTTGTTATTCATTTTAACCTGTAGTAGGTTCAGTCCCAGCGAGATAAAGTATCGTCGGGTATTTTATATGGGGTATAGAATACACGATATATTTAAATAGGTGGAAATACAACACATAAACGTTACGGGCACGTAAAAGTAAAAGTTTCTGCGTAACTGCTCGAAAAACGGTTTCTTACCGTTGGATTCATTCGTTCATTCGTTTATTTAAAGTGCGTAACTTATTATACAAAGTTATTGCACTACTGCTTACTTATTACTAGTTTATTCCCATTCTTCTTATCATCGTCTTTCGTGACTCCTGCATTGTTTTAATATTCTTTGCAGTATCTCTTACTTCCCATTTATTGGGGCTTGCTAGTCCTCCCTGTAGCTCGGATACCTCGGGGTTGCTAAGCCCGTACTGTAGCTACAAATACTACTACAGCCCCTGAGGGTCCCTCTAGCCTTGAACAGTACAGCCTCGTAAAATTTAGACTCGAACAGTGGACTCTATAAAAATCTAGTCTTGAACAGTACAGCTTCGTAAAATCTAGCATTGAACTATACAGCCTTGAACAGTGCATCATAGTAAAATCGAGCCTTGAACAGTGCAATCTTTTCAAATTTAGCCTTGAACAGCACACTTCATCGAAATCTAATACTTGAACAGTACATCATAGTAAAATCGAGCCTTGAACACTAAGCATAGTAAAATTTAGCCTTGAACAGTACAATCTATCAACATCTATTCTTGAACAGTACAATTTTTTCGAAATTTAGTCTGAAACAGTACAGCTTTGTAAAATCGAGCTTTGAACAGTACACTTTATCGAAATTTAATCTTGAACAGTACAGCTTTGTAAAATCTAGCATTGAACTATACAGCCTTGAACAGTACAACCTTGTAAAATTTAGCCTTGAACAGTACAATATATCAAGATCTATTCTTGAACAGTACATCATAGTAAAATCGAGCTTTGAACAGTACACTTTATCGAAATCTAATCTTGACCAGTACATCATAGTAAAATCGAGCCTTGAACACTAAGCATAGTAAAATCTACCCTGGAACAGTACACTCTATCAAAATCTAGCCTTGCACAGTACAGCATAGTAAAATCCAGCCTTGAACAGTATATCATAGTAAAATCCATCCTTGAACAGTACAGCCTTGTAAAATTTAGCCTTGAATTAGCCTTGATAAACCCCTCCAGATGAAGGATTATTTACAGTATTTAAAGAATCGAAAAGGAATTATTACACCTTCCAGCAAACACGTCGATCGAGCAAATCACTAAGATGCAACCAAGTATCATCGATTTGTATCGATGTCGATCGATTTCACCTCCGATGTATTCCTCTATGAAATAAGCTCGCTCGCGCTTAAACTTTTCGCTCGTAATCCTTCTTCCTGTGAACCGTGATTGCGAAATCGGTAAATTACGGAAGTAATTAAACTGTTTCTTGGTAGATTGCTTGGCACGACGCGAGACGAGTCGTCTCAGTTTTCTCCGAGCAATCTATCAACCGTAACGCCAGCTTCACCTAACTCCGTCAGAGTTCGTGTGGGTCTTAATTAAAAGTTTGAGAAACTTCTTTGTTGCGATACGTTTGCTGGGTTTTATGCAGTCAGGTTGGTAGAGTTTTCGACCGTGTTATTTCGTAACCGTTCATGGTTCCGATTAGGAGGTCCATCGTGGCGAAAACTGATCATCGAGGGATGTCCCTTGAGAAATCGTTCAGATTCAAGGATGAATGTTGATTATAGAATTTTAATTGATTTCGTATTCATTAGTGAAGAAGATATTGATGAAGATAATATTGATAAAGGATTACACTTTTACAATTTTTCTATAGAATCAAATCCAGTCCATTTTTATAACAAATTTCTGTGGAAACAAAAACTCTACTTCGAAGAAAAACATCTACGAACGTTCATGACTCGATGTATTATTATTTCAATTAATAATTAGTTGTATTCTGATGTAAGTGAATTTGAAATTGTACCACCCGAGCGCAAAGGGTTAATAAACAATGTACCGAAGAAGCCTACGTTGAACAATGTATTTACGTTAGAAGAATTACGGAGGCACTTTAATACTAAAATAAAATTTCGATGCTCGTCAAGCGTCCGCCACGCCTCGAATGCTAAATTTTTAGACGGAATCTGTCTCCTGGATTTTCGTCCGCGGCGACACGGAAGATCTTAAAGGCGCTTTAGCACGTTTTCCAGCATGTTTCCGTCGCATTCGTCAAACCGAAGAAGACGTCCTCGCCATTGGAGAATCTCATTGAGCGTATCCATCGTGGAAGCAGAAAATTGACGCAGCTTCGACGTCCTTAAATTTCAACAGCGTGAAACGTGGCTCAGCTGGTCGTTTAGGTCGACAAGTACGACTCAATGAAACGTGCGATGACATAAAATTTCCTTTCTAATTATCTAGCAACACATGCGGGATATTAGACAAAGAAACATTTACGTTTATTATCATTTAATATACAGCCTTTGTGTACATTTTTATTTGTATGCTGCAAGCTCCTCCTTATTTATTTTTGAAGGAGAAAACTATAACTCGCTTTTCAGTTTCACGTTGACTTCGTCTAATGGTTCATTAATACTCCACTAATTATCCCGTGGGAGGAAAATTCTTTCGTATAAGAAATAAATTGGTTTGGAGGTACCTTTTTCTGTTTCATGTTTACTCTCCGTAATATTTCGCAAAAAAATGGGGCAATATTTCCACGGCAGACCCCGAAATAAATAGAAAAATTTAACGAGAGACTGGGTTTACGGTAGGGACCTCTTTGAAAACTATGTTTGAGATTTCTTTGATTTTTTGAAGACCTGTTACGTACTATGATATACAACTCCGTGGTACACTAAATAGATCAACATCAAAAGAATCATAAATGCTCCTCTATAAATAATGTTTCTTATTAAACCTGAGAAATTCTAAATTATGTTCTAAAAGGAACTCGGAGGACCGCAACGCCAATATTATTCTTCGTTAAATATTTTTCATTCGTTACCGCAGGCGTCTGTAATTAAAAAAAAATACACAAAAATGAATTACTTCATTTGAAGGTTCCTTTAATTTCAAAGGAATTAACGACGCTCGAATAGCAGCATTCGAATATTTAAACATTCGTATATTCTGCGTTTACTCGTACAATTCGATACTTTGGAGGCACTGGTTACCATTCTTTAATTTCAGAGAAATTAATAACACCAAAGTAGCATTTAAATATGTAAATACTCATATATCCTGTACATATTCGTAGAATTCGATACTTTGCGGGCGCTGGTTACCATTCTTTAGTTTCAAAGAAATTAATAACACCAAAATAGCAGCATTTAAATATGTAAATACTCATATATTCTGCACTTACTCTTAAAATTCGATACCTACAAAACACTCGAACATTCCCAGTCATCGCGTCCGAGAAAATTAATTTAGGATTCTTTGGTGATCGTGGACGAGATCAGCGACAGCTTCCTGTCAGTCTCGAAGGACCTGATCGAGGGTGTCGAGGCACAGGCCCGAGGTGTTTCAAAGTTTATCGCATGGAGAAGACGCGGTGTATCCGATCGGATTTACCGGAGACAATTAATTTAAAGCCTCTTGAAGGGGAAACGCGGTACACGTGATAAAGTGCACGCAGAAATACGGCTGAAACACGCTCGCTTCTCTTGTTGCTGATGAGGGAACTCAATTAGAAGACACGACGGAGGGATGCGAAACAGGGCTGATGGTAGCACAGGTGGATGGGAATTCCAAGATAAAACAAACTCTTCTCTTTCGTTTCATTTCGAGCTTTTTAGCTACAAATTTGTTGCGTATTCTGTGACTCGAAATTAATCTTATCCAATGTCTCTTCATTAACGAATGTAGACTGAATTGGCTCGTGTAGAAACCTAGAGAGATGGTAATTTAAGCATTGCTTTAAACATTGCTGGGACTTTGGGAAAATAAAAATTGAAAGTTACAAGTCCGTAAGAATTGAATTTCAGGAAAAAGGTTTTCTAAGTTATCAATTTTTAAATCCGAAACTAAACGTCGTACGAATAAACTGTAAATACAAAAAACTTTCGTTTTGTCATTCTTTGTTAGGTGATATTTTTGCCTCCTGAAAAAAACTAGAGAGATGGACTTTAAACATTGCTGGGACTTTGGTCGATATTATTGCAGAACGATTGTTGACCAAGAAGCAAGTTCTCGTCTTTCGTTTCATTTCGAGCTTTTCAGCTACAATTTCTTTGTATATTCTGTGACTCGAAATTAATCTTATCCAGTGTCTCTTCATTAACGAATGTAGACTGAATTGTCTCCCGTATAAAATTGGAGAGACAGTCTGTTTAAATGTTGCCACCGCTTCCCTCGAAATGATCGCAGAAAGAAGATTTTTAACTGAGAAGCAACGCCTTCGATTTTCACTCGCAGTTCGAATAATAATTTTTCGAGAAGCAGGAAAACCTGAAACAAACACAGAAGTATCGATCAAACTGGTGAAACGTTACTGTCTCTATATCACTGGGCTCGCTCGTACTTTTAGCCAATGCAGTGTTAACTGTCAACGTGTTAATTGAGTTCGAAGTTCGAAGCACCTGGAGTTCGAAGAGAGGTTTAAAACTTTAGCGATAAACAATGGTATGGGATAGTTGAGCTTTCGCGGAACAGCTGCGCAAATAAATACATAAAGAAAACACAGTTGCGCTTGGTACCTATAAACAAAGGTACCTATAAACAAACATTACTTGCGATACAATAAATAATTATTAATGGAATGAAACATAATAATTTCCTTCTTCATAGATATCTTCGCGTAATTAAATCAAAGTGAGCATGTGAAAAATGAATTTTGGAGCGACATATTTAGGCCTGTTGAAATTAAAATTGAAATTAAATGTACAAATTTGTTCGTTTTGTCAAATCAAATAGAACAACAATATATATTCCATACCCATTTTTGCATAATTTACCAGCAAATCTTCAACAACTTTCTTATTATCGAAATTAATTAAATAAACGTTTCCTATATAAATAGGAGAAAAATACAAAAACAGAGTAAAATTGGAATTTTTGTATCTTTACTCAATTATTCCTAACTCCGGTATTTATCCATAAATTATCTTCAACGGAAGCTTGTTTTCTTCGCAAAAGTACGATCTATACGTAAACAATAAGAAACTGAACATAATTTGACAGTTTCTACTTTTGTATCGCGATGGAAGAAATTTTTGTGTTCTATTTTAGTCGACAAAATCGAAGTTTCTCATATATATTGGCCCGTAACACTTAAACTATTAAACCAACTGGAAAACAATGTAAAAATCAATTATTGGAAATTCGATTACCTTTAATATGGCATCTTGTGCGACTGAATCGGACGTTTGTAACTCGAGATATGGCCTAAAATGTGAAGGTATCTCAGAAAAAAATCGAAAACAATTCAAAAATTCATATAAAAAGAAACCTATCCATGGAACAATTTTTCATTGCAATTTTCGAGTTCAGCACACCAAAAAAACATAAAAACACATAAGAATTGGAATAAGAATAAGTAATTGGAACGCTATATTGAAGCACAATAATAAGAAGGAAGAGAAAAATGACACTATTTAATTCGACAGGATAAACGAACCTGTACGTAGGACGATCATAGACAATTTATCACACACTATCCTCGCGTGTCGTCGTTAATTATACCAGAAATAGAATATTAATGTTCCGCGCGATATTATAGACTCGACAATATCGCGCGGTACATCAACATTAGGATTTTATAATTAACGTCACAGCATGGGAACATTAGACGACGAATCGCTCATTATCTTCCTTGGTACACGTACATATATTTATTAATCTTGTCATATACAATATTGTCATTTTCCTTTCCAATTATTCCAACGCGACATCCCGTTATTATAAATTTGTTTTCTTTAGATCCATCATTTTGATATCTGCTGCTACATTAATATTACATTACCATTATAAATAATTGCATTTGAATACACCGCATTGTCATGAATTTGTTCTCGTTAGATCCTTCGCATTCTACACTTTACTACTATGCTCATTTTGATGTCTGCTGTTATATTAATATTACATTACCATTATAAATAATTGCATTTGAATACACCGCATTGTCATGAATTTGTTCTCGTTAGATCCTTCGAATTCTCCATTTTACTACTATGCTCATTTCGATGTCTGCTGTTACATTAATATCATCATCATAAATAATTGCATTTGGATACAACGGCTGACAAGGGAAACGTGCGATTTAACTGTATCTTCGTTTTAATGTACAGCTTGTGATGTGTAGTTTGTTTTGACGGTATCACCTAACACGTACAGTATCCTGTAATTGATTAGGTAATATAATTCGAACTGCAAACGAACGAATTGTCGATTCGTCGATTGCATCGAGTCACACGTTCATTAATTCGCCCATTAATTAACGTGGTTGCATTCAATGGGGTTGGATATCGTTCCCGGACGATGGGTGGTAACCTAATCTGGACACAAATTTCAAATAATCGATAAAAGACGTACAAACAAAATATTAGAATTTTAATTAGAGAATGTAAACTCTCTGTGCAATAACAAAGCTCTGTTCCAGCAAAGTTCTGTTACTCTACCTATTATTTAAGCGAAATTTTGTCTGCTTCGTTGAGGGTCTGAGAAAATACCAAAAGCCCTTGAAAAGGGCCCGAATCCACTGACTCGAATTGCCGGAACTGCTCGTATAAAATACGCTCGTATAATGTACGCTCGTATAATAT